ATCTTGTTTTGAAGCCAGAGATAAGCTCTACAAATTCAATTATGAGGTATCAGTATATTATTAAGCCCAGTTTGCCAAAAACGGCAGAACATTGGGAGAGAACAGAGTTTTGTCCGTCTGTTCTTGTAAATCGAATATCTCAAGAACGATGAGAGATACAGACTTAAAATTTTACAGGTATATGTAAAAACAGTAGCTAAACAAATGTTATTAAGAGACAAAGGTTGTTAACTTAATAAAATTTTCTGTAAATTGAGAAAAACTTAAAAATTATTGTGACGAAATTTTGTGTACAGATAATAGCAAAGAGAATTCTGCATAATTATTATAATAAATAAATAATCATAATAATTATTGATGTTATCTAGGAATCACTTCGTTTGATGATTATGGCTAAATATGCAAAGCAAATGCCTGAATTTCGAAAAATTCCAGAGAATGAAAAGAGTCTATTTTATTTATTTATTTTACATATTTTTTTTATTTATTTATAAAAACATTGTTGACCTATTTTCCCTAACCCCACATTATGAGAAGCTATACGTAGTACATACGTATGTTGTGACAGGGTAATGTGACCTTGCCGCAGTCTTTTGAAAGCATGATCCAAGCGCATTAATCTACAAAAGAGAAAGCATTTAATGATGATAATTAGAGTTTGGCTCAATGCGATGCACTGTTGAGAACAATAGTAAGGCGCCTCTGGTATTCACATGGTAGAAACTAAAGACATTGTCATGTAAATGTGTATGAATTGCTTGTAGTTAGTCATAGATCCCCTCCTGATATTGCTTGTAAAATCTTAATCGTAGTAGAAAAGCCCCAATGTTATTTGTAATGTATAAAGGCTTATTGATTTCATGTAACTAAGGAGAGAACAAGCATATAAATAATAAGTAAAAAATCATAATAAAGACTACCTAACTAGGGTTCTAGTGGCAGTAGGATTCTTGGTTCTCAGGCCAAATCTTCCACACCTTTTTTCGAATAGCCTTAGTCTTTGTGATTTAGGTTATGAGGCCCGGTGATCCTCAAATCCGCACTTCTACAACGTGCATATTATCGAATATATGAAAGTTAGATTGTTGTGCTGATGAGATTTTTAAATAAATAAATTTGAAAATACGGTCTTTAAAACTGATAATGTTAATTTAATTTTGTACTGTTTAATTATAAAGTACAATCTTTATTAATTTTTTTAGCCAAACATAAATGAAATACCGTTATCTAATAAAGTAAAATACATTTGTAATGAATCTCTCAAAGTACATCCTCTCTAAATGCACCACCAAATTCTGGCCAAAAGATATAATTGACTCTCTAAATGCATTTTTTTTTCTTATTGTTCTCTAAATACATTTTGTTAAAGTTTGATCTCTATAAAGTGTATTTGGAGAGGTCCGACCGTATTTGCAAAAACATATTAGTTATCCATCATACATTCTATTGTTCTCTTAACGTAGTCAAACATGTATACCTAAATGCCTTTCCAATAAAATTATTCTAAAAAACTGCCACAAACTATCGTATATAAGATCCTCATATAGTAGACCCATTGCATACTATAACCGGGTTTAAGTCGAGAAATCTATAATAACCAATTGCAGTTTTTTTTTTAACATCTAGACTGCTTGTTATAGATAGAGAAAACATGCATGCTCTTTAAAAATTTTCTCTTAAAGGACCCAGGTCTTGTATATGGCTGTTTACAGTAATTTAGAATTGACATAACAAATATCGGCTGTAATGATGGGTTGGTTTATTCGTATTCACTTGCATAAATGCATAACTTTAAAATACTTCATCAAAAAGCAAAAATCTTGCGTTCCACATATTCTTGCATATTCTATGCTGAGTCTAAAAATAAAAAAAGGCAAGTTAGTATAAAGAGCAAAATCTTGCGTATCATATACATATTCTTGCGTATTCCATGCGAAGACTAAAAATAAAAAAAAGGCAATTTAGCATCAAAATGCAAAAGTCTTGCGCATATTCTTGCATATTCTATGCGAGGTCTAGAAATAAGAAAAAGGCAATTTATTATCAAAGAACAAAATCTCGCGTATTACTTACATTTTTCTTACATATTTTATGAAAGGCTAGAATTAAAAAAGCAAATCTCACAAATCGTTCACATATTCTTGCATATTCTATACGGGGCTTAGAATAAAAAGGCAATTTAAAATTTGCTTAGTTAATTATACATATAAATGTGCATTTATACATATTTTTTCATTTGCCTATTCTTCGGCCGACATTCATATAACGCGACCAATTAGCCAAATAATTATCAATTAGGCCGCAGTTACTTAAATTAGAAGTTTTTTATTTCATCTTTAATAGCGAGTTAAAATTTATATAAACGATGAGTTTTTGCTTTCAATAAAGTTCAAACCAACACAATATTTTAAATAATTACCTCGTGTTTTTTCTTATACTTTCATTGCTATTTCTTCACAACTTAGAATTAATAATCCGTGATTGATTGAAAGATGCACTTCAAATTGTCGCCAAGTTCAAATATTGTTTTTTATCTACTATTTGTCTTTCCGTTTAAATATAATAAAAAGTCAAATAATTAGTTATCAATAAACCTTATTTAAATTCAATTCGTGTAAAAAAAACATAATAATCAAAATGTCTGCTTCAAATGAAGTTACTAATATCAAAAATAGCTTTTGTTCTTGCTATAACAAAACTAAACTAATTGCTGAATTTATTAGACAAAAGGGAAAAAATTAGTAACGTTTGCCAGGTGTAATATGTGCGCTGAGCAAGAAAGACAAAATTACCACAAAAAAAAATTACAAAAAAGCGAAATTACTCCATCCCAGTCTTTAAATAATGATATGAATAACGATATGCCCGTAGATATAAATAATAGAGAAAGTAATATTGACGATCTTCTTTATGATATATGCGATCTTGAGAAGATTGTAAAGGTTAATTTTAGAGATAACGATAAGGTTGAATTCTCTGTAATGTTAAATATAGAAAGTGAATTAATAAATGAAAATATATTGCTGCCAGAATTAAGTTATGAAGAAACAGAATTAAAAAATGAAGAAACATTACCACCAGAATTAGATCAAGAAATATCACTAGGATTAGATGATGAAGAAATATCGTCGTCTAAATTAGATCATGACAAAG